TCCTGTTCACCACTCGTCAGCGAATGACAGTCGCAAGGAGAGAGAAAAGTATCATTAAGAAGGCTCCAGAAAAAAAGTGCGTATGCATGGAGCAGACGCTAGTTACAAATCAGCAGATTAGGATCAAAGAATTCTGAAAGAGCTGCGTCCAGTGTATGGAAGCAGCCCAGAAATGTCATTAACAAGGGGTAATCACATCGACTGCTCTTTCTGCTTGTGTGCTTTTTTTTTTCCCACGGTACCTCAAGAAAGACTGGAAGAGCGGAAAAGCAACCTGCAGTCTGATGAGAATGCCACATCTGTAACATTTTCAAACGATCCCTTCAATGTTACGACACACTCTCCGCTTCTTAAATCGATTACGTATACTGTTCGGTTACTGCACACCGTGGCAGCATACGTGCCACTTGGGTCCAGGCAGACCTGAAACAGTTATTCCGAACAGCTCATGTTTAGCCGTCAGTAACTAGAATGACAGCGGAACGGAATGTGGCGGTTTCCAAACCTTTTGAAAACATGCAACAGTGAAACCCGTTAGAGGATGTTGCGAACAGTAAATGATGTTTTAGACTGCAGCATCGAAGGCTCTACGTTCGTGGGCAATGAACATGAAATTTCATTTTAAGAACCTCACAGAAAAAAATTTATGCTCATCGAACCCGAACACCTTCCGTCCTCTTCTCGTTTCACGTGAACAAGAAAACAACTCTTCATACACAGTACGCAGTTGTTACTGGAAAACGCAAACCTTAGTTAGTTGTCCGTCGCCGCTTGCCGCGCCCTTAATCTGCTTTATCAGTTTCCCTTTTGTTGAATACAGTCGCAGCTGTCGATCCTGACACGCCACTAGTAAATCTCCATCTGGACAGATTACTGCGCTATTTAGGCCAAATTGCGCGGCCACAAAAAAGCACCGCGCGAAAGTCACAGATAATGGCTAAAAATAATGCAATTTTTTGAATTATGCTCAGCAAAAACACACTTTCACAGTAGTTAGTAAATTGTTATACTGAATCAATGCCCGTGTTAGTTGCAAGGCACTGAACGGGAAACAGCTTTTCAGTGTCAAAGGATGCCATGTTGTCACTAGATCAGCTTCATTCAGCAAACATCACAGCTATTTTTGCTGTTATTTTGCAAACTTTTTCGGATAATTAAAATTTAAAAGAAATCCTCCTACAAGTTCTCTGCATTTTGTGAGGAAGATTTCCCGCGAAGTCGTTTACCAGAAATATCGGGAAAAAACTACCTCTGTTTCCACCATCTTTCGAATAACCATAGAGCGATCAGCGGCCGAACTTATCAAAAACAAGCCATCGGACTGCTGCAACAATGCCATAGACAATACGAGACACAACGAAGAGAAAAGCGAACGACAGATTTTCTCTTCCTTCGAGAACTTGCTGTTATTCGGCGTCGGGCGAAAACGAACAGACCACATAAGACACCATTTTAAAAAAATTTAATTTTCTCACGCTGTCACAAAGGTATCTGCGCACGAGCACATGCGAGAGAATGCCTAACTGATTATGTGATCAGCAAATTGCACTC